AACTGATCTTTTCATCATAAAGAAGAAATTAAAAAAAATTAAAAAAAAATATATGTTTAAAAGTATACATACTGTCAAGACACACGCTAATTTGAATCCAAATTGGGGTTTATAACCTGATTTTTTTTTACCGAACGAAAAACTTTACAGAAAATGGTTTCATGGCGAGACTCCCTCTGTCATCTCTGTGAAGTTGGCACTCGGTATGACACAAAAAGATAAAAAAGCTGTTCTGAGTAGCTTTTCAATAGTTTTAGAGTTCCTGAAAAAGGAAAAAGAGTTCTGCAAAATTGCGCCGAAAAATTTATTTTTTTTTTCAGAAAAGTCGAAAAAGTCGTGAAACCCAGAAGCTACCCACCTCGGCTATGTCGGTTAAATCTTCGAAAACTCCTGAGCCTATGAGCTTTCGCCTTTTTTTCTACAAAGTGCAGGTGCCGTAAGGTTTCCGTCACTTTTTCATCTCTGCAGCTTCTGCAGAAGTTGTTTTTGGGGGACCCATAACCTCTGCGCGTGCCTTCCGATGGCAACATGGCCTGTTAATAGATCCACGGCTGCGCCATAGTCCACTCTGCTCTGAGTATGTTAGGATATTATTACATATGACTTCTACAGTACGTAGGTGTTCAAGTCACTTCTGCATAGCAGCGACTTCGACTTGAAAGACGCTGCAGTTGTTGGGTAAGCGAACTTATTTTTTCTGACCCAGTTGGGCTGAGAAGACCCCTGTCCTATCTTGCCGTCTAGTTTAGAACCGTCGGTGTAGCAGTGCAGTGATGCCTTTTCATTAGGAGCTCCTCTAGATCAAAATTCTTTGTCTGGAATGGAAATCATAATTTGTGCCTTTCAGACTTGTCAGACACAGTAATCCCTGCCTAGTATTTCTAGTATGTTATGTTATGTTTGAGATCGCGGTGTGGCCAGTCTGATAGTTACCGCAGCCTCCTGCCGGTGCACCCCACGATTAAAGAGGCCCCTTTTGACAAATTTAATTCACCTGGCCAGGATGAAAGATGCTAAAGTGTAAGGGAGATATTATAAAAAAAGGCTCTATTAAACGTTTATGCAGCTGGTCTCGCATTCGGCTATAACTACTATTGATTGGTTGGTTACAGTGCTTCCTAGAAGCTAGCTGGGATACAATTTACGCATTTTTGCACCATTTAGTTGCACTTGCCGCTTGTTTGCCTAGGGGCCAATTTCAAGAGGGCAACCCACTGCCACCGCTACCAAATCAGCCAAACTGGCTCTTGCCCATTTGCCAGTTCACTAACCCTTCAATTGCCTTCGAAGTACCTATGTCCGGAGACCCAGACAAAAGAGACGGCAGTTGACTGAGACTCTGCCCCCAATTAATTTTTGCATTCTTTAATCAGCTTAGATTTGGTAACCGGAGATACCAATGCAAATAGCGGCGTCGGTAAGAATAGTGTTGTACCCGATTTGACAGGCTTCTAGAGAAGACTTCCGCTTCTGTACTGCAATCCATCTTGAATCCGTCGGAGTATATAGTATCGGCCAATCGGTCTCTTCTCTATTCTCTTCTGGCACAGCTGAAGTCTTGGTTGTCTACAAAATAAATAGCCGTCCATTCATCAAGTGTTTAATCCATAAGAGCCTGACTCTCTGAGTCTGACCACTAGCTTTGTAGCCACTTCTTTCAGGAGAAGTTCGATTGGGTTCAGGTCGAGAATAAAATGTAGCGGTTCTTTCAGCCAGGATCTTACTCCGTTACTCCTGCGCCCGCTGTCCTGCGAATACTTCTTAGTTTACTAACATTATATTAATATGTTGGTGCGTACCGTCAAACCAGAGCGCTGCAGAGTGGTTCAGACAGAGGCTAGGCGTCTCAAAAATCTGAACTCTAAATTCCTCCATTCCACACGACTAATAAATGTCTTGATTCAGATCGTTTTCTCAATAAAATAAATGCAATGCTCAAAAATGTTTAATATATACAAGTAATTTTTAAGCAAAGAAACGAAACCGACTTTTTCTTCATGATCTAATGATCGGATCTAAACAAAATTAGTATGGGGACCATCTCTGAGGTGCCGCCTTTCCTTTAAAAAAAATTATAGAAACTGGTTAACGTGGTCCAAAATTTATGGTAACATACATAAAAAAAGAAATTGTGCGATGAATTGATAACCTCCTCTTTTTTTGAAGTCGGTTAAAAGTTGCCACCATTTTGCCACAAAAATTTAGGGGGGGGGGGGGCTTATTTTAAAAAATGTTACTCCATCACGAAGGATTTATTGTTTTATTTATTCTTAAAGGTTGTTGTTTTAAAAACTGCTAGGGCGCAAAAATACTAGAGCAAGGGACCGTATTAAGAAATTTTGACCGTTTTCGTAAAATTAAACTTTCTCAATAGAATTTAAAAAGAAAAAAAGATTGACTGAAACTTCATAGAACTTACTTTCTTAATGTCTGCTGAAGTGTAGATTTCATACTGAACTGGTTACTTTTTACAAAAACCGGTTTTTGAAAATCGATTTTTGAAATTTTTTGCTCACAACCAGTTTAAATTCCACTCAAAAATAAAAGAAATCAAAATAGTTTCGGGGAAACAATTTTTATTCAACTTAAATTTAATACTTTTCAGTTTCTAACGGTATATTTAGTTTGTCAGCGGCAGACAGCGCTATCAATTAAAACTCTACTTAAAAATAAGAAACAAACTTTTTTTGGAGCTTTTGAAAAAAAGTTTTGATTTGTGAATAGGCGAACTTCTGCTTTTATTTATAATTTTTTGAAAATTACAATATGCAGCATTTCCATATACATATATTTGTGTGTTACCAATAGCATAAACTCTTTTTGAAAACGCAATTTTTTCCGAAATTGTTTTTAACTTTGAGCTTATTTTTTTAAGACTTTTTTTTTTACTAAAATGAATAATTTGGACACAAATTTCATTTTCACACAAATAACTCAAAAAATCATAATTTCGGAGAATCCAATTATGAGATGCTAAGAGCACTGCTGCACTGCACTGCACTGTGCGCCGTTTTCGAACATCGTCATGTTTTCTGGTGTATTAAGGTGGAAGAGAATTATCAGACACAACTAGAGTTTCTATGTTAAACAGACCACACGGGGGTGTGTGCAAAGCCCTAACGGCGTCATGAGCACAACGACAGAAGCGGCGATGGATACTTTGTTAAATTTTCCACAAACAGCTGTAAATGGGACTCGAGTTGGATGATATATGGATAACAACTTCAGACAAATTTCCTCTATAGGTATTCATTCCTTAAGTTGCATAAGGGATAATTGGCGAAAAATGGCGGGGGCATAAAATTAGGGTCTGCAGTGACAGCCACACTGCTCTAAAGGCCTTTGAAAATCGCTTATACTTCTCTAAGAATTGTCCTGGAATGCGAGTTGTTGCTGCAAAGCTCCAATGTTAATTGCGGCCTTATAGCTCTCTCAAAATACTCTGTTCCCTCAAAATATGTTAAAGCAGCTCTCCGATTTTAGTCCTAGATCATCACAACTACTTATTTGATTTCTTTCTATAGTACAGTGTGTAGAGATGTATTAATTTTGACATAACAAAAAAAAAAAAAAATAAGGAAAACTTGAAAACTCAATGGGCCGTATGCATAAAACTTAAGCAGATGCTTTTTCTTAAAATTTCAGATCTTTTACTCGATTTGTTCAAATAAATTTAAGTGAAAGTTATGGAATTTTAAGAAAAAGCAAATGCTTAGTTTTTATGCATACGACCCAATGTTGACTCCATCATAAGCAAGTACTGTGCTTTTAATGATAACCACCGTCTTAGGTGTAAAAAGTTAAGCTTATTGGTAAGTTTGCATTTATTCGAGTTTAATACGGAAACAAATGTTAATCATCACTCCTTTTGTACATACATACATATATCCTTATATTATTACTAAAAATGCTAATGATGTGTATTCGCTTTGAGGCCTCAAACAGGCCATTGAGAGAAATTTACAATTTTTTTTTTATTCTTTCGTAGCTTAAATTTAGCCTTAAACATTATAAGAGATTTCCACACGTCATACAAACAGTTTGCTTTACCTTTTCCATCAGAAAATATATTTTGTTTTGCCTCGCTTAACAGCTACAGAATTACACCACAATTACTTATTTATTATTACATTTCTACGAAGTAAGTACTTAACTACAGTTACTGAGTGAAATGATAATTTCTTACAGCATAACTCTTCACGCCCAGCTGTAAGTTGTCATTAGTCACTAGTCATTTGTCACTTACATACATACATACGTTTATTTAAGTAGTAAATTCGCCAGGTTTTGCTTTGCTCATAATATTTTTTTCTTTACATAAAAATGCTACGGTTTCACTGCCATTCAAGCGGTGTTTTATGAATTTCTTTTTTTTTATGATTTATGCACATCTTTTGTGTAGCTTACCATGTTTTCGAGATTTTTTGCAAAATCGTTGGTTTTGGTTTACAAAATATTTCTATCTTTTTTTGTGCAAATTTTAGTAATGCATTGCATTGTTGGGCTTGAAGCCTAAATTCTTCCGTTGCAGGAATAGATGTATCTCGCGGAAATTTGGTCGACTCGATTCGTTTCGCTGCCAGCATTCGCACATTAAATCATAGATTTCACGCGGGCAATTCAGCGGCATCGGCAGCAGCTCCTATGAGAATGAAGAGATAAAAATTATTTACTTCCATAAGTGGGCTTTTGATGGCTGAGTGACATTTTAAGTTTTGTATAATGCTATGAAATATTTTATTGCATATGAAAGCTTTATATATTAGACAAAGTTTTTGGATAGTTGAAAACGTGGACATACTTTTTTTGATAATTAAAAACTAGACATAAATATTTGTTAATTAAAAAACTAGACATAATTTTTTGGCAACTAAAAACAAGACATATATTTAGAAATTTAAAAATTGGGCATATTTTTGTTTGCTAAAACCAGACATAATTTTTTTTACAGAGATTATTTTTACAGACATAATTAATTTTACAGACATAATTATTTTTAGAACATTAAAAGCTAGACATAAATATTTGGTTATTTAAAAATTGAGAATTAAAAAACCAAATATAATTTTTTGATAGCTAACAACCTGGAGATAAATTTTTAGAGCAATAAAAAGTTTGAAAAAAATGTTTGGTCATTTGAAAACTAGACCTATGTATATTTGTGGCCATTTAAAGGCTGGACATAGCTTTTTGATAATTACAAAACTAGACATAAATTTTTAGAGCTTTGTAATAAAAAACCCATACATATAGTTTAGGTAATCTAAGAATTGATCATAAATTTCAACCCATGTGAAATTCGAACATGAATTTGTAGTTGTTTAAAAATTGGACAAAAAATTTTAATAATTTAAAAACTGGTTATTCAATATTTAGTACTAACTGGTAAACGAGGCTTAAATTTTTGGTAATTTAAAAAGGGGACATACATTTTTGACTATTTAAAAATTCGACTTAATGCTTTAATAACTAAAGAATTGGACATTATTTCTCGGTAATTAAAAAAATGGACATACATTTTTCGTAACTTAAAATTGGCCATAAATTTTTAGCTCTCAAAAAATTAAAAATAAATTTTTAGTTTCTAAATATTAAAAAAAAATTTTAGTCTCTTAAAAATTGAAAATAAATTTTTAGTCTTTTAAAAGTTGAAAATAAGTGTGTGGTCATTTAAACTTGAACACTAATTTTTGGCCATGTAAAAGGTGGGCAGAAATCATTAGCAACTGAAGAAATAAAACTGACGTTGACAATTGTACATAATCTTTTGAAAGATGTATAAAAAAATATAGAAGACACATATGTCCACTTTTACTGTTAAGTTTTTTATGCACACTTTTTACAATTCAATAGTAGTACGCCTATTTTTTTGTCTATATTTTATAAGCACTTATAAAATGTATGTAGGTAGACGATTCTACCCATCTTTTTAGTGTCCACTTTATATAACCAGCTTTTATATGACCAAATTTGTCCAGTTTCTAAGTGACCATGAATTTTTGTTCGGTGTTTTATTTTTTGGTGCAGTTCTCAACTGACCAAAATAAGAATAAAAATATGTGTCCAATTTGTAAATGACAGAAATTTTTGGTCCATTTTTTTATTTTCCAAAAATTTATGTCTAGTTTTTCATTGACCATAAGTTTATGTTCAGCTTTTACCAAATTTTCATGTCTAGATTTTATGCTAACATAAAGTGATGCCCAGTTTTTGAACGACCAAAAGTTTATGAATAATTTTCAAAATGTCATAAGTTTATGTAAAATTTTTATGTGACCAAAAATTTATGTGCAGTTTTAATGTTACCAAAAATTGGTGTCCAGCTTTTATAATGACCAAATTTATCCCCACTTTTTTGTTGACCTAAAGTTTATCTTTAGCTTTTACCAAAATTTCATGTCTAGATTTCACGTTACCCAAAAGTACTTCCCAGTTTTTGAGCGACCAAATGTTGATGAAAAGTTTTCAAATAAACATAAATTTATGTCCAATTTTAAACTGAAAAAAATGTATGTGCAGTTTTAATGTTACCAAAAATTCATGTCCAGCTTTTATAATGACCAAAATATGATGTCCAGATTAAACGCTAAAAAATTTTTATCCAGATATTAAATGACAACAAAGTTTTGTGAAGCTTTTAAATGACCAAAAATATACATAATATGTTCAGTTTTTATTGACCAAAATTTATGTCCAGTTTTTTGGTAACCAGAAGTTTATGTTCAGCTTTTAACAAAATTTCATGTCTAGATTTCACCTTACCAAAAAGTGTTTCAAATAAACATAAATTTATGTCCAATTATAAAGTGAAAAAAATTTATGCCCAGCGTTAATGTTACCAAAAAATTTATGTCCAGCTTTCATAATGACCAAAATATGATGTCCAATGTCCAATATATTAGTGGCAACAAATTTGTGTAGCTTTTAAATTACCAAATATGTACATGCTATGTCCAGTATTTAAATGGCCAAAATTTTCGTCCAGTTACTTTCAAGCGTTCAAATATTTATGTACGCAGAAATTTAGTACATAATTTTTATTAGGTCTGNCTTTCAAGCGTTCAAATATTTATGTACGCAGAAATTTAGTACATAATTTTCCTATGTCTAATACTCACATGCAACTTATCATCCGCATAAATATGTCCGATATTCTCGATGACCTTCTCATCTGTCAAATGTTCGTAGGGTTGTTCGCGCGCAAAAGTTAATATCTCCCACAGCGTTACGGCAAAAGACCAAACATCCGATTTTGATGTGAATTTACCCTAAGGAAAATAGAAAATAGTAATTAAATTTTCATAGTCGCAGTATTTTCACAGCATTATTATACGTATAGTACATTCATACATACATAAATATAATTTAATATAGTTTTTCAGCAGATTTTCTAGAAAAAATTGTATTCGTTTCAATAAATTAGTTGCAATTATTAACCTAGTTATCTCACATTTTCATAATTTAATGAAGTTTTGATTATGTTTTGCTTAAACCTGTGTCTCCAGTAAATTACATCAGAGATAATACATAATTGGCTGTTTCACTTGCAACTCAGACATTTACAATTTCACTTAAATGCACGAATGCACAAATTTTTGCACAGATGCGATTTCAACTGAATTCGCCTGCAGTTAAATCTGTATCTTGTTATCCGTAGTATTTTGTTGTTTTTGCAAATGCGCTGTTTGTAGAAGTCATCTGAAATGATTGACAGGCGAATTTTGTGTAAATTAATATTACCAAAAATAAGATTATTTTGACATTACTTAAGCAGCTTTTATAAGTGAGCACATTTTTCATATAAGTACATAGTATTGTGAATTTCAATTTCTGACTGAGCCGAGAGCGTGGTATCAATCAACGAAAGTTAGTTCTTATACTGGTGCTGGCATAGAATGTTAGATACAAATTTCCAAATTAAAACAAAAGATAGTTTTGGGGTCGGTACCTGGGTTTGAAAATTATTATTTTTTCTACATCCTAAAAATTAGACAATATGTTTAATTCAGAGACTGAAAATAAAAGTTATTTAAAAATTTTTGATATCAAAAAGGCATAGTGAAAAAATTATGTTATAGCTTTTTCAAAGCTACCGTTAGACTCGTCTCTCATTGTAGATTTTGATTCCTCCATGACTTTTAAAAATATGACTTTTATCATTTTGATCAAATAATAAGGATTATTTCTGCTTTTTATTTTTTTAAGGCACAAATAAAAGTTAAAATTTGCCTTTTATTTTTTTGAGCAGAAAATAATCGGTAATTGTCGACATTTATTTTTTCAGGCAAAAATAAAAGTCAAAGTTAAAAATCAAGTATTCCAGAGCTGTGTTATATTCGAATTTGATAGTTTTGAAGNTTTATCATTTTGATCAAATAATAAGGATTATTTCTGCTTTTTATTTTTTTAAGGCACAAATAAAAGTTAAAATTTGCCTTTTATTTTTTTGAGCAGAAAATAATCGGTAATTGTCGACTTTTATTTTTTCAGGCAAAAATAAAAGTCAAAGTTAAAAATCAAGTATTCCAGAGCTGTGTATATTCCTACTCCTACTTGGACTTTAATAACCCCTATACCCAAATACCAAAATACCAGGGTTAGTTCAAGNAAAATAAAAGTCAAAGTTAAAAATCAAGTATTCCAGAGCTGTGTATATTCCTACTCCTACTTGGACTTTAATAACCCCTATACCCAAATACCAAAATACCAGGGTTAGTTCAAGTCTATATACATATGTATACATACAATACATGAAGGGAGTTTTCGTTAACGGCATTAGATCTGCACCGATTATTCGATTTTCAAAACTGAGGCGCCAAATTAAAGGGCTTAGTCACCAGATGTATATACCACAAGGCATGACTTTTTTGAATAGGGTTGCCACCTTTGTTTGAATTATAAAATCTGCACTGTTAGTTGTATTAAAACAGGAGAGGTACCAAATAGAAGGGCTGTGCCTGTAGCTGTGCAAGAAGGTTTCAGTTTTTTGAATAGGGTTGCCACCTTTGTTTGAATTATAAAATCTGCACTGTTAGTTGTATTAAAACAGGAGAGGTACCAAATAGAAGGGCTGTGCCTGTAGCTGTGCAAGAAGGTTTCAGTTTTTTGAATAGGGTTGCCACCTTTGTTTGAATTATAAAATCTGCACTGTTAGTTGTATTAAAACAGGAGAGGTACCAAATAGAAGGGCTGTGCCTGTAGCTGTGCAAGAAGGTTTCAGTTTTTTGAATAGGGTTGCCACCTTTGTTTGAATTATAAAATCTGCACTGTTAGTTGTATTAAAACAGGAGAGGTACCAAATAGAAGGGCTGTGCCTGTAGCTGTGCAAGAAGGTTTCAGTTTTTTGAATAGGGTTGCCACCTTTGTTTGAATTATAAAATCTGCACTGTTCGTTGTATTAAAACAGGAGAGGTACCAAATAGAAGGGCTGTGCCTGTAGATGTGCAAGAAGGTTTCAGTTTTTTGAATAGGGTTGCCACCTGCTTCTAAAATAGAAGACTTACACCGTTCGTTGTATTAAAACAGAAGAGGTGGCAAACAGAAGGGCCTGTAGATGTGCAAGAAGATCTCAGTTTTTTAAATAGGGTTGCCACCTGCTGGTATATACATCTGGTGGATAAGCCCTTTAATTTGGCGCCTCAGTTTTGAAAATCGAATAATCGGTGCAGATCTGATGCCGTTAATAAAAACTCCCTTCATGTATTGTGTGTATACATACATATGTATATAGATTTGAACTAACCCTGGTATTTGGGTATAGGGGTTATTAAAGTCCATGTAGGAGCTTCAAAACTATCACACTCGAATATACACAGCTCTGGAATACTTGATTTTTAACTTTGACTTTTAGTTTTGCCTGAAAAAATGAAAATAAAAGTCAACAATTACCGATTATTTTCTGCTCAAAAAAATAAAAGGCAACTTAAACTTTTATTTTTGCCTTAAAAAAATAAAAAGCAGAAATAGTCGTTACAATTTGCTCAAAATGATAAAAGTCAAAAAATAACTTAAATTTTTTTACTTTTATTATAAAATACATAACCGGTACGGTCTCTGGTTTAATTTGACCAGCTATAACTTAGTGAGTTTATCAATTTATATAAATAAGTTTCAAAATTTATCAGTTTTCAAGGCAAACAAATTTGNTATCACACTCGAATATACACAGCTCTGGAATACTTGATTTTTAACTTTGAATTTTAGTTTTGCCTGAAAAAATGAAAATAAAAGTCAACAATTACCGATTACTTTCTGCTCAAAAAAATAAAAGGCAAACTTAAGCTTTTATTTTTGCCTTAAAAAAATAAAAAGCAGAAATAGTGGTTACAATTTGCTCAAAATGATAAAAGTAAAAAAAAACTTAAATTTTTTTACTTTTATTATAAAATACATAACCGGTACGGTCTCTGGTTTAATTTGACCAGTTATAACTTAGTGAGTTTATCAATTTATATAAATAAGTTTCAAAATTTATCAGTTTTCAAGGCAAACAAATTTTCGATCTAAAAAAATTTGATGAAGTTTGAGGACATAAAGTAGTAGTTTTTCTGGTAACGCTTTTGATCTTAATGGCTTATATTTTCAAAAGTCTCGAAACATTCAACAAAGTAATTGATTAGATACAAGAAATCTCTTCTAACAATGTTTTAAGTTTTTTCTCTGAGAAACAACAAAATGTTAGTACTCTTTCGAGTACTTTTGAGGCTTGTCAAGAATTTCTCGCGACCGTTTGAGAAATTTCGGATTTGTAGAGACTTTTATAGATTATTTGGGCCTTCGATATTTATTTTTCGAGATCTTGTGAACATTTTTTCAGTTTTTCGTGGCCTTCATGGATATTTTTTAGGCTTTTTGTTTTATTTTTCGGGATCTTTTGAAACTTTTCGGATTATTCTCAGATTTTTGGGGGATATTTTGCGGCTAATTGGTACTTTATCATGGCTTTTACTGCGAACTTTTGGCTCTTTTTTTGCGAATTTCTTGAATTTCTCGGGACTTTTGATTTTATGATTTTTCAGGGGTTTTTCGAAAGTTTTCAAGAGTTTATAGCGACTTTTCTGGATTAATCGGGATCTCTTGGGATGTTTTGTGCGACTGTTTGTGAGACGTTTTGTATACTAAAGGACTTTATTGGAGTTTTTCTGACCTTTTATGAATTTCTTCGGGACCTAGTTTTTTGCTGGTTTTTTTCGGATTTTTTCGAGATTTCTCAAGATTTTCTCATGAACTTTTAAGCGCTACCGGAAATTTTTAAGATTTTTTGGACATTTATGGACTTTTTCGAGACGTTACTTTTCGGGATCTTTTGAAAATGTTTAGGATTTTTGGGGCTCTTTCGAATTTTTGCGAAATCTTTTATGGCTTATCAGCACTTTCATGCTTATTCATGCATTTTTGGTTTGGAGGTTTTTTCGAGACTTCGTGATTTATTTTTAAATAAAATTTAGAATATTTTTTTGGGATTTTGCCGGATTTTTTTTTCGTAGTATCTTCTNTTTTCGAGACTTCGTGATTTATTTTTAAATAAAATTTAGAATATTTTTTTTGGGATTTTGCCGGATTTTTTTTTTCGTAGTATCTTCCGCGACTTATGGGCAATTTCTGATAACCGTTCCGAGTTAAACGGGAGTTTTTGGCATTTTTCGGCAATTTCTGCATTTTTATGGTTTGGGTGGTTTTCTTTGATTTTTCGGGCTTATTCCGGATTTTTTCGGGAGCTCGTGTTTGTAGATTTATCAAGAACTTTTGAAATTTTTTCGGCACTCTTCTGAATTTTGTTCGGTACTTCATGCTTTATTTTTTGTATTTTTGTGGAATCATTTGGGTCTTTTTGGAACCTTTAGATTCTGTCGGATTTTTTCGGGACTTTGTGGGATTATTTTTCGGATATTTTCATGACTTTCTGGCACTTTTCAGGAACCTCAAAAGTACATGTAAATATAAACTATCTTTTTTCTGAATGCCTGAAAAAGTATCAAGCAAAAATTAGTAAATTCTATATTAAAAAATTTGAACTAAACTCGACTTCGAAGGCTCAGATTATAAAATAATTTTCATCTAAAATTCATAATTAATTACAACATAACTTTAACTCAAATATTTACATGCAGCTTAAAGCTCCAGCATTTGCCGAAATTAAACTGTTTTTGTGAGGTGCCCAAAATACAAAGTATCCTCGTAGCTATTAAGCATTCATTTCATTGCCTTCTTGCTGCTTTTTGTTGCAATTGCGCCGTTATTTAAATTTCTCATTTTTGCTAAAATCCAC